AGTCAGGGACATGAGGGAAGCTCCCTCCGCAGAGACAAATTGGCAAATCCACTCTAAGTTAACATCTTGGAGTTGTTGGATTTTTGGGGGGGATTGCAGGGGGAGGAAGAACTAAGAGGTTAAATTAGTTACTCATGATCATAAAGCTCCTCTGGTTTAGAAGTAGGACCTGAACCCTAACTTCCTGGCTTCAAATTCAGGCCTTTCTCCTCTACTGTTGTTGTTCATTTGTTCACTCATGTCTGACTCTTGGTGACCCCATAGACCATAGTGTCCTTGGGGTTATCTTGGCAAAGATACTGGAGTGGTTTTCCACTTCCTTCTCTAGTGGATTAAGGCAAAAAGGGGTTAAGTGACTTGCCCAGAGTCATATAACTAGTGGGTGTCTGAGGCTGGATTTGAACTCAGCTCTTCCTGACTCTAGGCCCGGTGCTTTATCCTCTGAGCCACCTAGCTGCCTCATTATCACTCTGCTTTTCACCAGTTTAAAACCTTACCCATAAATGAAATGTAGTTTGCCATATTTTATTTTTAGTGAATTCATGTTTACTTCTAGCGGATACCATTTTTTTCCTCCTTCTGAATGCTTACAAACTGTTTAATAATCCCTATTAAAAATTTTGATATCAACATTTATGCTCTGATTTATTGATTTAGCTTTGGAGGGGATGAAACTGGGACTTGAACCCCTGTTTTCCAACTTTAAGTCCACTGCTTTTTCTATTATATCTCACTGCTTCTCTCTAGTTTCCTATAACATCTTCAGGTGAGGAAGGGAACAAAAGTACCTACCCTATGTTATGTTAAGCACTTTACAAATATCTCGTTTGATCCTAACTCATCCTAACTGCTTTCTTTTGTTGTTGTTCAGTCATTTCAGTCATGTCTGACTCTTCATGACCCTATTTAAGGTTTTCTTGGCAAGGATCCTGGAGTGATTTGCCTTTTTCTTCTCCAGCTCATTTTACAGATGAAGAACTGAGGCAAACAAGGTTAAGTGACTTGCCCAGGGTCACACAAGCTAGTAAGTGTCTGAGGCCTGATTGAACCCACTAAGGTGAGTATTCCTGACTCCAGGCCTGGTACTTTATCCACTATGCCACCTAGCTTGTTCAGCTAATTTCTAGTGCAAGAGAAAAAACAATCTCCTCTTTCATTTTTGCCAGCTCTACCAGACTCATTATTTATTAAGTGTACAAGCATCTGCTTGGAGAAAAGTTCACATTGGCTTTGTTCCTCCCCCTGCTCGATCAGAACAGGCTTTTCCCCTTAAGTGGTTCAGCTCATGTTGTAGAGTAATTGTTAAAACAAAAGATAAGTTGCACAATAGTGGTAAAATAAAACTACAGTTTCATTTAGGGCTTTTAGTATTTCCACACCAAGAGATAATGATGTAGGTGTATACCCTTGGAGAAACATGGCTTTCTGAAACTATCCACCCCCTCTTTCAAGTCTGTATGAAGGTAAATAAAAGGATCAATTCTTTTCATTTGGTCAATGAAAAGCTATTTGTAGTTTGGCTACCAAAAACTTCTAATCATCTTGATATATTGGTTCTGCCTTCTAAAGGGAATTAAAGAGACTCCCTATTTTTATTGTGTTCTTTTTAAAGGACACTTACAGGTCTTTATTCAAAAAAGACTGAAGACTTCAAATCAAGATACTGTTATAATATTAAGTCTTAATTTTCTAGTATGATTGAGGAATCAGGGTGGTATGCTTGGCAGCATGGTGTGCTGAAAAGTATTACCCTGATTTTTGGAAAAAGTTGAACATTTGGCCATCTCCATTCTAACAGCCTTTCTCCTACCCACCCTGATTTTCCTTAGTTGCATCCATAAGTCCTTTTTGGTACCCTTTTGATATAATTCATATAGACTGTAGGAGTCATTTAGGCGGGCTGGCTGCTTATGTTTTACTGTCTTCTCGCCTATCATGGGGCTATTTCTATTATCATCTACCCCTTTTTGAAGACCATTCATCTTGATTCCAAATCCAGTGCTTCTCCCACTGCAGTAGCTGTCCTCTCTTTGTGGTCTATTGACATTATACCATCAGTGCCCAAGCAGCTAACCTGTCCTCCCTCCAGCCTTCATTCTCTAAACCAGTGGCTCTTAATTTTTTCTGTGTTATGGACCTCCTTGGAATTATGGTGAAACCTGTGGACCCCTTCTCAGAATTATATTTTTAAATGCCTAAAATAAAATACATAGGGTTACATAGGAAATCATTAATACCAAAATACCATGATCAAAATATAAATAATCCAAAATTCACAGACCTAAGTCAAGAACCCTGCTCTCAACAAACATTAAAAATAGTAGATTAATACTGCTATTTATTAATGTGCAGTTGTTATAACTGCAGGAAGAAGTTATTTGTCTAACAACCAAGCCAGTTTTCCAAGTCTATTTGTATCAGAGACTTACTTGGTTTTTTTTGTTTTTGTTTTTCTTTTTAGGCAATGGGGTTAAGTGACTTGCCCAGGGTCACACAGCTAGTAAGTGTCGAGTGTTTGGTCTGAGGCTGGATTTGAACTTAGGTCCTCCTGACTTCAGGGCCAGTGCTCTATCTACTGTGACACTTAGCTGCCCCTCAGATATTTGCTTTGTGATCAGCTCATTGCACATGTACTGGGCTGGCTACTGGCAGCTACAGGATTTTCACTTAGAGACTCAGTTTCCCCAACCAAATCATGCTGCTTTTGTAATTGGTCTTCTTCCTGTGGCTTTAGTTCTCCTTCAGTGGAAAGAGGGGTGGATTTTAAGTCAGAGGATCTGGGCTTGAACCCTGGCTCTGCCGCTTGTACAACTTTCTGGGCCTCCATTTCTCCATCTGTAAAATGAAGAAAGTGACTAAAAAACCAGGTGACTTCTAAAATACAGCCCCAAGTCTAGGATCCTAAGAAAAGCAGGAGGTGAGAAAAGAAGCTTCTGCTTAGCTCACATATACCCATGTCCATGACCTAGTTTCTCTTTGAGGCAGTATTGGGTCTGGAATCAGAAAGATTTTAGTTAAGTCACTTAACTAGCTGAGTGACCCTGGACGAGTCATTTAACCTCTGTTTGCCTTAGCTTTCTCAACTGTAAAATGGGAATAATAATAACATCTTCTTTGCAGGGTTGTTGTGAGGATCAGTATTTGTAAAGCATGTAGTACAGTGTCTGACACATAGTAGGTGCTGTATAAATGCTTACTCCCTTCCTCCTATTGGTTTTTTTTTTCTTTTGGTGAGGCAATCGGGGTTAAGTGACTTGCCCAGAGTCACACAGTGGGTAAGTGTCAAGTGTCTGAGGCCAGATTTGAACTCAGGTCCTCCTGACTCCAAGGCCAGTGCTCTATCCACTGCACCACCTAACTGCCCCATCACTGGTGATTTCTTACTACCTTTATGACATTGTGCCAGTTACTTGGCCTCTCTGATCCTTTGCAATTTTTTTCACCTGTAAAGGAAAGAGAAGGTGGACAAGATAATTTCTAAATTCCTTCGTGCCCTAAAATCTATGATACTGTGATAAGAGGGAACATGAGTTGAATTCAGACCATCAAGAAGCAAGCTAGCGAGTTTAATGTGGTCGGAAGGACAAGACCCTGGGAGGCAAAGGTCAAGAGCTTAGGGGTCACTAGATCCACTCCTTTTGTTGTAAAGCTTGGGAAACTGCCAACTAAAGAGGCTGAGGACTTTGCCCCAGTTTGTGGTGTGGAAGATGAGTGTATGTAGATATGCTGCTAATTTCCTGTGTGACCTTCAGCAAGCGGGTCACCTCCCTTTTGAGCCTTCAATTGCCCATCTTTACAAGGAGAAGACTGGACCAAGTGTTCTCTCGGGTGCCTTCCCAGCTCTTTAGTGACTCTGACTCCTACCTTGGGGCACCAGCAGCAGAGATAGGTGGGGGTGGTCTCTAAAGTTCTTTCAGTCCTAAATCCTCTGCTCCAATGACTCTCCCACTGATGATGCCTTTGGGGGACTAGTAGCAGGGAAGTTTGTGGATTCAAGCATGATTTGAAATCAGATTCCCACTGAGCTGTTGAGTGTATCCTGACCACAGGAGGCTCCTCTTCAGGAATGCTTTTTCGCCTTATCAGTCCAATTTCTCATTGCTAGCTTCAACATATTTTCTACCCATGAGTTTATAACAAAATTTTGAATTATCCCTGTTAAAAGGATCTTACATGTTCTGGGCAACTGGGTGGCGCAGTGGATTGAGGGCTGGGCCTGGAGACAGGAAAACCTGAGGTCAGATCCAGTCTCAGACACTTACTAGCTGTGTGACTCTGGGCAAGTCACTTAACCCTTGTTTGCTTCAGTTTCCTCGTCTATAAAATGGGGATAATAGTAGTCCCTACCTCCAAGTATTGTTGTGAAGATCATATGAGATAATAATTGTGAAATGCTTAGCACAATGCCTGGCATATCTATCTATGTATCTATCTATCCACACACACACACACATATACATACATATGTGTATATATATATATACACACACACACACACACACACACACACATATATATATATATATATATACACACACACACACACACACTATATCATTGTTAGCTATTGTTATTCTTCAAAAATTCCCACAGAGAATGGGAATCACCAACATGGGTGAATCTTTGGGCAATTCCTTCTTCTGTCTTCTGAACATATGCTTCCAGGAAGTTTTTTATGAACAGTGCCCAAAAGGTCTCCCGCCCTCTGGAAGGTCATTGCATTGAACCTATAAGGATATTGTAACAGGGCCAACTGCTGGACATTTTTCTAGCCTTTCTGAATGACAGGGCCTGTGGATGAGCCATGGTTGGCCCCTTTACCCATACTGATGGACTCTGGGAATGGTTCTTACAAGGGGAAATGGTTTACACTATTGTGGAATCATCAGTCCTCCTGGTTGATATTTTTGTTTGACTTTCTAGAACACAAATGAAAATAGGTACATACATGTCCCCAGGACCTAATGAAGCTAACTTTTCTCTTCTTCTTCCAACTATAGATCTCTCCTCCTAATGAAAAAAGGCTTTGAGAATGGATTACTGCAGCCAGACCACTCTAGTCCCATGTGGACAAGATAAATACATTTCCAAGTAAGATTTCCTTTTATAATTTGCAGATGGAAAAGCATATTAATGTTGTTTTAGACACTCATGGGGTATCAAGTGGTAAGGTTTGGACAGAGAAGTTCTCAGGGTCTAGACCAGTGATTCCTAAGAATTTATAAATTTCTGTAACTTATTATTGTTTAATTTAGGGGATATTCCCCTTCCTTCATCCTATCTCAAAATGTTTTATGACAGATTTTTAGGGTATAAGCATTACACTGTTATTAGGTACCAAGGCAAAGGCATAAGTGAAACTACCTTACAGTGTTTGGGTCCTGTCTGTTCTCTGGTATCCAGATCCCCATGTGGATATTTCCTTCCTCCCTTCCTTCCTTCCTTCCTTCCTTTCTTTCTCTTCCTTCCTTCCTTCCTTCCTTCCTTCCTTTCTTTCTCTTCCTTCCTCCATTCCTTCATTTCCCATGTGGTTTGCAAGATGAATTTCTTTTGTACTGAATTGCCCTCTAGAAGAAGTGGGGGTGAAAGTAAAGTTTGTTTCTTTTTTTTAAACAAAGGAGAATAAAAATTAATTTTATGTGTAAATTTAATAAATAGATGTGTAGTATAGTTCTAAAATAGAAAGAACATTTGACTTGGAGCTAGAAGACTTGAATTCAAATTCTGACTCCATCCTTTACTACCTCTGTGACCTTAGGCAAACACCTCCCGTATTCAGGTCTCAGTTTCTTCATTTGTAAAATTAGAGAGTTGCATTATATGATCTCTAAGATCTCTTTCAGCCCTAATGCCTGTGATCCCATATTTGTTGAATGAATGAATGATGCCTCCTGAGATAAGAAGCATTGTAATTGAATTCTTATAAATGAACAACTGAATGTATATATACCTCCATGAGGGTTTTGATGAGATTTCTACACCAATCTCCTGCTTCTCGCAATAGTATGATCTTAAGGATATATGGTAGCTTCTCAGTACTAAAACTGAGAACCTTTGACTTGGGATGTGGCAAAATACTATTGGTAATAAATGACCTATACTAGCCATGGTAATAAGGAAATTGGCCTAGATAACCTCTGAGGTCCCTTCTATCATCTCAGGTTTTTTTTGGGTGGTTAACACTGTTGCATTATGGGACAAGTCTGCCAAGATGCTATATGGAGTCAGCACATAGTAATTCCATTGAGACTTTTTTTTTTTTTTACCACTTTGTGTATAGGATGAGGAAAGTGTATTAAGAATAGGAAGAGGACAATTAATCAGGTGCTCCTATCAGGTAGGAGGACAAGATAGGAATGAGAGATATTGTTGCACATTCAGAAGAGCCCTGGATTTGAAGCTAAATACCCAGAGATATGCTGGTAAATATTTAACAACTGGGTCTTTGGTAACATTCTTCATCATTGGTCCTCTGGAATCGTGGCTGATTAATGCATTGATGAGAATCTTTAAGTCTTTCAAAACTGTTGGTTTTACAATATTGTTATAGCATAAATTATTTTCCTATTTTTGCTCACAACACTGTATCAGTTCATACAAGTCTTCCCAGATTTCTCCCAAGTCTTCCCTTTCATGATTTCTTACAATGCAAAAATATTCCATTACATTTATATACCATATTTTGTTAAGTTATTGGGTACCTTTTAGCTTCCAGTTCTTTGATACTACAAAAAATGCTTCTCTCTCTCTCTCTCTCTCTCTCTCTCTCTTTCTCTCTCTCTCCCTTCCTCTTTTTCCACACACACGCATATACATATGTATATATGTACATGTGGGACATTGCCCTCTTTTTCTACCTCTTTTGGTATCACTGAGTCAAAGGATATGCATGGTTTAATAACTTTTGGGGGGCATGATTCCAAATTGCTTTCTGTAATGCCTGCACCAATTTACAGCTCTACTAACAGTACAACAGAGTGCCTCTTTTCCCACAGCCATTCCAACATTTGCCATTTTCCTTCTTTTTGCTAACTGCAATTTTGTTTTAGTACCAGCCTGAGATAGACATAATTAGAGAGAAAAATCTTCTATTAAATTCTTTTTTTATTGCTTTCTAGATACCAATATGAGCACATATTTATGGACTTGGCTACAGATAAAGACACACACACACACACACACACACACACACACAGCTTTTGGATCGTCTGTACTACCTCTTTCTTAAATTAAGAGAAATCATTAAGAGTCGACTGTAAAACTTGAAAACAATCATGGAATATTGAAAGATAGAATATAAAATGTTAGAATTCTGGAATGATCCTTAAAAAGCACAGAATATCAGAGCTGAAAAGGACCTGAGAATATAGAAAATTAGAAGGAAGAGACTGTAGAATACAGGATGTCAGAATTTAAAGGAACTCTGAAATCATCTAATATAAACCTCACATTTCAAAGAGGAGGAAACTGAGGTCCTGAGAGGGGGGAGTAATTTGCTAAGGTAACACAGCAAATGCCTTCTAGAAATGGGACTAGAATCTCGGTCTCCTGATTTCTAATCTAGTACTCTCTCCTTGGCACCATACAGGATCCTAAGTTGGTATCACGGTAGTTTGACTAATGGACTTTTGTCAATTATTCAAGTCTCTAATTTCAAAATCATAGGTTTAGGGGCATTGGTAGAGAAGAAGGATGTAGAATAATAAGCCCCTTCTTATAGCACTTTAGCATTTACATAGAATTTGGTAACATGACTTTTTGAGGTAGTTTGTGCATGTATTATTATCTCCACTTTATAGAGTAGGAAACTGAGACTTAATGCCTTACCCAGGTTCACACAGTTGAAAATTACTCCTTGTCCAAGTCTGTGGCTTCTCTCCAGTCTCCTGGACCCACATGGTCCTTTGGAAAAAGGAAGCTCTGAGAAGAGTAACCTCTCCATAAGTTTTATTTTCTGGAGGATTCTTTAGTTTCTCCTACCAAATAGGGGAATGCCTGATTTAGGTAGATATTGATGAATGGACCAGAGGTTCCTGTTGGATTATGTCCTAAAGCCTCATTAATTCAGAATTTGTGGCCAGAGGACTTGATTTGCTAAGCAAATTATAATGGAAGCAAGATGAGATAAGAAATGCTACTTGGGAGAGCAAAGTAATTACAAGCTCTTTAGAAGCCCTCAATTGTAAATTGTGATTGACAATTGTGAAAAGCAGTCATGGTATCTGGAGTAAAAAGGGCAGTCTCCCTTTGGGTACTCAACAGCTGGATAAGCCTAGGGAAAACTCTTTCTCTTCTCTCAACCCTTGTTTCTTCCTACTGCCCTACTCACCTGTCTTGTCTACTTTCCATGGTTGTTGTAAGGAGACTGCTCTCCTATTTCATGTAGTATCATTTACTACTTATAGACCAGAAAACATTATAGAAATGGGAATTATTTTTACCGTAATGAATTAGTTACACACAGCCCTCATTGTTGAAGTTCAGTCATTCACTTGTGTCCAACTTTTCATGACCCCAAATGTTTTTTTTTTTTTTTTCCGCAAAGATACTAGAGTAGTTTTCCATTTCTTTCTCCTGTGAATTAAGGCAAATTGGGTTAAGTGACTTATCCAAGGTCACACAGCTAGTGAATGTTTGTGACTGCATTTGAACTCAGCTCTTCCTGATTCCAGGCCCAGCTCTCTATCCACTGAGACACCTAGCTACCTCTAGACAACCCATATCTCTGCATTAAAATCCTTCAGGACAATTTTTTTGTAACTTGCTGTATGTGCTCAAAAGTACTAAATTTCATTTGTTTTAAAATATTCCACATTCACACTTCATCAGTTTATAGCAGTGCCCTCTACCCCAACATAACTAGTCTAACATAATGAGGATTGATTTAAGAATCATGAGATTTTAGGGTTGGAAGGGACCTTAAAGAGTGAATGTATGAATGAAAAAGCATTTATTAAGTGCTTACTGTGTGCAAAGCAACATAGTCAAACAAGACAGTTCTTGCTGTCAAGGAGCTCCTGTTCTAATGGGGAGACAACCTATATTAGTTTCAACTCTGAGTCAGATGGAAAGCTTCCATAGTCCTTAGGATAATCTAGCAAAGCACATGATAATGCATCTTTTTAAATTTCATTTCTACTGAGAAAATCATCTCCTGCTCTGATTTTTAAACCATTTGATGGGGCCACTTTTGCAGGTGAGAATTTTATTTTCTGTTTCCTACGATGATGACCACAAGATCATCTTGGACCTGATGGTCAGAAACACAGGAGCTATATTCCCTTTTTTTCTCTGTTTCACTTGTAATGAAGTACAGTGTCCTTAGAACTACCTCATTTTACAAGTGGAGAAATTGAGGCATAGGGGTAGGGAAAAGCGACTGCACCAAGGTCACACAGGTAGGTAAGTATTAGAATTAGAATTCAAATTCAAGTTTTCTGACTCCAAGTCAGTGTTTTTTTTTTCCATTCTGCCCATATTAGGCTCTTCAGAATCTGGCAGATCACATTCCTAGGGACGGAATTTAAGGAGTGGTTAATTGTAGAGTTGCTGGGTCACCACCCTGCCCTTAGCTCTAGAGTCTCTAGAAATGAGGATTTACCAAGTTAGCAGGCTTAGGCTAACTTTAGTTTGAATTATAACTGCAAACATCAGAGTACTCTAAGAATCAAATCAGTCAATATACAAGTGTTTATTAGATGCCTACTATGTGTTGGGCATACAGAAGTTAGAGTTTTGTCCTCAAAGGAGCTTACATCCTACTAAGAGGAGGTAGCATATTCACACACACACACACACACACACACACACACAGACATAAATGTACACACATATACACATAGAAACAACATGGCAGTGGGGAGAGATACTAACAATTGGGGGAAATCAGGATGTGGGAGTTATTACCTATGATTCTTCCTCTCCATTTCCACCTACCTACAGCCCTAAGCCTCTAGTCCTGAAATGAAAGAGTTGGCAGCTGAACATGCTTGAATTCTATGCTTGAAAAAAGTTTGGATATGATCAAATCATAAGAACAAATATAGATTAATAAATGCTTGTTGGGCTGGATTGAGTATTAAGGCCAAGCC